AGGGACGTGGCGTGAAGAAACGTGGACGGGAAACTGGGGGGGCGGGCGTTTCAAGCCTTTTTTTGGACTGTCTGTGGGTTGTCTACTTCTAACCAGGCGGGGTTGGGTGTGCCGTTGGTCCCGCGACGCTGGGGCGGCTGGATTTGGCGATTGTTGTCCGGGACGGGAATTGGTTGTTCCAGGAACGCCAGTGGATGGTAGAGCCTTTGACTGGGGCCCTCGTGGGAGCTGGAGTGCCTATCATTTGTGGGGATTTTGCTACAGGGCGACAATCTATTCACTGGCACGTTGCTTGGGGGAAACGACAAAGAACGTAGTGGATGTCGATTCTTTGAGAGGGTATGTGTGCGGTTAGAACGGAGCACTGATGGAATGGTAGTGTGTTGGGTGCAGGGGCATGAAAAAGATACCGAAAAGCAACAAAACGTGGCTCTGTAAAGCCAGACGACAGAAAACGGGGAATAGAAGGCCACATGGTCTGCAAGGGTGACTGGATGGGGGCGAGGTTGCAGGGCTTTGGCCTAGAAAGAGGATAGGAAGAAAGCTATAGTGGAGCAAGTTGTTGGCTGTTTTCGTAACACGTGTCTTTTGGTCTGAATTCGGGTGGGCAGGGATGACCTTGTTGCCTGTGGTGCTGGTCACTGGTGAGGCATACCGCAGCACCGCCATTAGCCTTTTCAAGCTAGTTGTGCAGTGAAACGAGACATACAGTTTTTGACCATGGATGGGTGAACGACGCCCAGGGACGGGTGGCGGAGTGGTGGAGGGAAGCTCTGCTGGTGTCTGTGCAGGAGGGCTCCAGACGCACTGCCTTCCATGGCGGTCTCAGGGCAGTGCAAGGGCAAGAGATGTTGACATGCGCTGCTTCGAGTTCTGGGTGTTGTTTGAGGTGGTGGTCTGCAATAATGGGTGCAGGGGGCCTGTTGAAGAGGCAGTCCTTTGGGCCTACTAAACGATTGTTTCCATGAAACGCGGAGCTTGTGGAACTTAACCCACGAAAACTCTTTTGTTTTTGTTGACTAGATGTGGAACTGAGGAGTTCAAATTTTGGGGTGGGCGGGTAGGTGGGTGGCATATACAGTGCCAGCTGCGCAATCTGAGGCAGCGGTGAATATCCATTTGTTTCTAGTTTGGGACACTCTCAACCCTGGCTTGTATGTAAGCAACTTCATTTCTCTGTCGCACTTATTTCTGCACGTTGTGAAGCGCGTTCCTTTGCGATGCAAGGCAATGCTCACGGTTCCTGGGCCTCCATCCCCAGCCCTGCGCCTGCAATGCCGCTGTCATGGTATCCTTGCAACTGCAGGCAACCAGTTTGCTTCACCGACACGGGTTAGTGTTTGCCGTCAAAGGGTCTCCAGGAGACTCCCTGGCACTGAGACGTCGTATTCGGCTGTGTCTGCAATGCATCTGAGCGGCCACTCGCACCGCCGCTCAGCGGCGCCGTAATGCGGTCAACGCAGGCTGACCGATTCCCAAGAATCTGCATCCTGGCCACGCGGCCCTGCTGGGGGAGTATTGTTAACTGCTGGACAGGGGTGCACACAGTACGGCTGCCAGTGATCTCCCAGCCCTCCCACGACGCGTCTCCGCCTGTTGAATACCGCAACGGCCAGAAGAAGCTTGACCTCGCACAGCTGCGCCGGCCGATTTCACCAAACCGCTGACCTGTACAAATCTCCATCCCTGTGGACCCAAGCCAGCGCGCGTTCAAACAGAGGACGGCCAGCTCTGTGCGTCTAGGTTGACCATCCATTTGGCGGCTGGCGATTCGGGCAAAAGCACCAGCAAGTCCCACGGAAAGGAGAATTTCTTTGTGAGTCCTGCCTTTTGTCATGGCTGTGCCGATTTTTGCAGTTTCGAGCCCATCATACAATGTTTTGCTCGTCGTTTGAGGGTTTGCCTTTGTTGTTGCTTAGAAAGTTGATGGACAATTGGGGTTTAACATGCTGTTCCTTTGGGCCAGAAAATTGTGAAACAGGACTTTATCTGCCCCCTGTGAGAGTCGAACTCACGACCTCTCGCTTACGAAGCGAGCGCTCTAACCAACTGAGCTAAGGAGGCCCGTTTCAGAAGCGCCAGAGTGATCAAATTAATAAATTTGTTAAGTGGTACTCACAATCTCATCTGCTTTTCCTTCAATTCTGCACACCAACCGCAGTCCAGCGCCACGCGGATCCAGGCGTCCCGGTCCCATGCCGTAAATAGCTCATCCACTGGCCTGGTCTCGATAACCTGCGCTGTTGTTCGGCATTTCAATGTTTGCCCACCCAACATCACCAGTGGGGCCACAGACGTGCCGCGGGGAAGGAAGCGTGTTCTGGGGTGTTCTTGAGGAGGCTCGAATCACTCCCCCCTCCCCGCGCGCCTGTGGAGCTTCAAACTTCAGGAGTCTCCTCTTGCTGATTGCCAGGCAGACGCCTGCCGCATTCCAGAGCCTGACCGCAAGGGGTGCACTGCAGGGGGTGGAGACGCCTTCGGAGAGGTATGCAAGTGCAGATTCCATCGCGTCCGAACGTCTGCGATTGCTTGTATCGCAACAACGGTGGCCCTGAATGCCTGTTGACGACTGTCGTCAACTTTTTGATTGCCTGCGTGGAGATGGGTTACACATGTCAGCTCCATTGGACGCTGCACACTGCTTACCGTTGGGGGGTGGAGCTCATGGACGCGACAGTATCTGTCGATCGACCTAGCGTGGAGGCCTTGTGGCTTTCCTCGACTTGGGGAGGTCATGGTTCGAGTGCCTCACGCCAGCGTGGTGCAAGGACCCAGCTTGGTCTTTCCAAGGCAGATTGAAACAAAGGATTCTAGCAATCACATTCCGCCGTGCTGTGCTTATGGAGGTGAGGGTCTCGTGCGATGGCTTGTTCTGACCTCACTCGAGGTTTCCAAAGCCATGCCTTCAGTTTGTCACCTCCGATCGGCTATGAATCAGGAGATGGCATGACCTGCTGCGGGCTCAAATGTGTTCCTTGCTGCCAACGCCTCCGTGACTGGCGACGTGAAGATCAGGCGTCGGTGCTGTACGCCTGCATCTTACAGGATGAGGGGCAGGGATTGGGTGTCCTGTGGACACCCATCGTCGACTCGAAATTTCGCGCTGGCCAGACCAGCGACATCGAGAATATCGACAACAGTGCTTCGCTACTGAAATGCAGATTCAATGTCAACATCAGAAAAGAATCCTTCAGCTCCTTGTTCACCTCCATGCTGAAACATTGAAGTGGAGTTGCACAACTCCATCGATCTTTAAGCTAGGCTAGGTTGTAGACCCCTGCAATCCAGTGTCAATGCGTTCCTTGTCTGACTTTCCTGTCCACCCCACCACTCAAAGCCAGCAATGTTTATGTTGGGCACAGATTTCAGCCAAACACCTGACTACCTCAGCAGTGAAATACTCACAACTTGCCGAGGAGCATGTGGCAGAAACCTCCAAGCTGGTGGGCTCTGTGAAAGAGTGATCTTCCAACTTGAACCTATTATGGCCAGGCCGCTTGCAGATTGACGTGGTGCTGAAGCAGTCTGCTGAGCACCAGAACTCGTAAGGTTTTGCCCAAAGTCTGCAAGTGCTGCTGGAACAGACAGTTCATTTTCACGTGCACGGATCACAGTTGACATGGAGAGCATAGAGAACATTGGCATTGCTATATCTGTTGAAATGCCACAGATTACTGTCCTTTTGTGCGTTGGACGTTGTCAGGGTTGTGGCATACAAGGTAAAGACTGTACATGAAACAAAGCGTGTAGTGGAATGGAAGGTGCAGGCAGGATATGGGAGGGTACATGGAGGAGCCCCGATCCCATGGAAGTCTGCAGCATACTGCCAATATGCATGCCTGCAGCAATCCTTGCTCAAGACAGTGGCGAGTTGTGTAATGACGCACGTTGTTTTCTCCCAGCACCATGTTTGCATTGGGCCACTAGCTCCATGGAGCTGTCCGCTCACATGGCCTGTGCTGCCACTTTTGTTACATTTGAAGTTGGCAATTTTCCTGGTCCCTTTTCTATGCCTGTCCATTGTGCGCCATTGTGCTGGTGAGTTTTGCGAGTGCACACCAAGGTGGTCCAAATACATGCACCTTTTTGCAGAACTGCTCGTTTCATCAAGTTCGACTCTTCTCTTTTCTCTTCTTGAGACTTCTCTTTTGTCCTCCTTGAGACTGAGCATTCCTTTGAATTCGAACAACTTGGGGGCTTTACATCGCCTTGCATGCTTTTGCTCGGTGGCACAAGGACCGCATACGTTGTGATAGGACGGGGGAGGCATCTGGACGCTGGAGTTCGACGTAATATATTGGAATCAATAAAAACAAGTTCGACTCCTGAAAGGCAGGAATGTGCAGACCTTCAAATTAGAAAGGGCCTCATGATAATTTGCTGCAAAGACAAGATGTCTACCACAGTGGCAACGCTTGAAAGCGAAGGCCCACAGGCCCCCGTGAAGTTAGTCGCCGTGGCTTTGAACCACATGCAGGGTGACACACACAGACATTTTCGCCCTCCATGGAATTTCATCTTCAATGACGTTGGAAGATGTTGATTACCATCATGGTAATCACTGAAACCTACCGTGTACGGCACAAATGTGTTCCACACATGGGTTTAAAGTCACAGCGAACCACTCCACAGAGGATGGCCTTCCCCGGTGTTTTCTGAGACGCTGGCACTTCCCTGGCTGTTTGCCCTGCCCTTGGGTCCCGTTCGCAGCAAAAGGCGATGATGATTTGCATGCTGCCAAAATGACGTGAACAACCAAATTGCTCCCCTCTGGTGCGTCAATGCTCCGCGCGGTACCTCCCCAACCGCCAGGACAGCACCCAGGCGTCTGACAACGCGGGGCGGCCGTCACTCTCGCGCGGTCCTTGTAGCGCGACCACACGAAACTCCCCTTCGCCCAGCCCCGCCCCCCTCCCGCCTCCGGACGCCTTAGCCGAGCCCGACAGCGGCAGGCGTTGGCTGGCCGGTGGCCACCCTCGAGCGTCGGCCCCAGCCGGTCGATGACATCGGAGTCCGCCGACGCGACGTTTGGCACGAGCGGTCAGGGGATGTCGGAAAACGTGCGCGAGCAGGACCGGTTCCTGCCCATCGCCAACATCAGCAGGATCATGAAGAAGGCGCTGCCCGCCAACGCCAAGATCGCCAAGGAGGCGAAGGAGACCGTGCAGGAGTGCGTGTCGGAGTTCATCAGCTTCATCACCAGCGAGTGAGTGCCGCCACCTGCGGTGGTGCGAGGGGGTGGAGGGCGGCGGTTGCGAGCAATCGGAGCGTGAAAGCGCTTTGTGGACCTTCGCACGCCCGACGTGGCTTGCGGGCCGCGCGGTCGATGTTTGCCCTGCGTTGGCAAATGGAATCAGAAGCAGCTGTCGCCAGAATGTTAGGCCTAGCCATGGGCAGGGCAAGCGTTCCCCCATCCCGTTCGAACATCTGGGTTTGATGGCCATTGGGGTCATTGCGGGGTGAGGTGTCTTGTGGGGTGGCAGGGCGAGCGACAAATGTCAGAGGGAGAAACGAAAGACGATCAACGGGGAGGACCTGTTGTGGGCCCTTGGGACGCTGGGGTTCGAGGACTACGTGGAGCCTTTGAAGTTGTTCCTTCAGAAGCATCGCGAGGTAACGCGCCTGGTGATTGACTGGCATGTCTGCTGCTGCTTCGTTGGGGTAGACGCCTGTGGATGCTGACGGCTGTTTTCCGCTTTCACCTTCGGGCGGCGACTTCTGCAGTTTGAGGTGAGTCCTGATTTCTGTTTGCTGAAACACTGTGCACGCTTTGGTGGGACCAGTTGCTTTGCATGGCACTGGACACTTTCTTCTGTAGTTCCAGGAACTCTATCATGCCGAAAGAAGCAGTCTGTGATAGCTTCTCCACAGCTCAGGTGTCGCTGCCCGGCTGACTGCTGCGCCAACCCAAGGGCACTCTTTAGCATATCGAACTGCTGAAAAGGGGTGGTTGGCAATGCCTTTCCGAACCCTGCCCATGTTGAGTGTTTTGGCGTGTCTTTGGGCTACGGCTCATCCCCCTGGGCGGTACAGACTTGTCGCCCACGGTTGTGACCCGGGCTTGTTGTTTGGGCAGGGAGACAAAAGCGGTACTGTGGTGCGGAACGGCTCAGAAGAGGTGAAAAAGGAGAGCATGCCTGACTCATCGTAGCAGGTGTGGGGTAGCCGGCAGTCTCATGTTCCAAAAACTGACACCCCGTATGGAGCATCCATGGGGTCCTCTGTGGTGCAGACCAAAACAGGTTGCCGGCTCCCCACACTGTGCCACATCTTGCTCCTGTGGTTGTAGATGCATCGGTTGCAGCGATATGTGCATTGTGGTGCAATCTACAGTGCTTTGACGGTTGTAGTTTTGTTTTCCATCGTCAACTTTAAGATCTGCTTGGCCTTTTCCCATCGATTCAGATCAATTGGCTTGATTGCAGTGGCTGAATCTGTGTGGCGCTAATTCACCAGTCGTTCATGTGTCTGTTCTCACCAAATTATTCCTTGTGCCATATTGAGAAGGCACGTTGTCTTGTGCATGCCCTGCAGACTGGCTCGCCTGGGGAAGGCTACTTGGAGTCTGCCCCACAAAGGGTGCAGATGCTCCCTACTGCTGGCGTCCACCCAGGGCCAATGGTTCCAGGCGTTGTGCCTCCTGGGGCGATGTATTCCAGGCCACAGCAATGACCAATTGCACACTGTGTGGCCACCCTGTGGCATGTTGTGGGAGTACATCAGCAGTGTAAGGCACTGAGGTGGGTCGCATGTAGCAATTAGTGCACAAGGGGCAGCTAAGAGCAGCTTCATTTTGTGCGCAGCCAATTTGCTTTGCAAGGTGTGGCGAGCAGGGGTGCTGAAGGCGCTGAATGGGGCGACCAAGTCAGCAAGCGATTTTGGCAGCTCTTTGAGGGTGTTTAGAACGCTGCTGGACGAGTAGCAGGCGGTGCCTCAGAACAAGCCAGGTGTTTAGTGGTTTTTGCGTCCAGGACAGTTTGTAAGTATGGGGATTGATGTTTGGGGTACTTTGTGTGTATCTTGTAAGAAACAGGAAAGGAGCACTGGTAGGAGGCACAAGTTGAGAAAACGAAAGTGCAGGGGCAGGTGCCCGTGCAGCCATGGCCAAACAGGGCAGACCTGCAAGAGCTGCGATCCTATCTGTCACAGCGGTTTTTGCCTCCAGCGTTGGCAGCGTGGAAGAGCTTGGGGAAGAGGTTGGATTCAGGCAGGGGCGCTTTGGTACTGGCCATGCTAAAGCAGGTTAAGGGATTTATTCTTTCCTTTGAGTTCTACGTTTGAGCATTCCTTCAATTGCTCTCGGTGTGTGTTGGCCCTGTCAAAGATTGTTGCGAAAGAACGAGAATATCACACAAGGGACCGCCTCCAGAGTAGGATTTTTGAGACTCTTGTCAGTGCCGTAAGAGTGATGCAGAAATATCTATGTGCAGCAGGGAAAGCACAGAATAATGTGTGTCGATCGCACATGGCCACGAGTAGAAAGCGGTTTTTGAGCGAGGGGTTGTAACGATGATTCAATTCGGAACTGCACTCTGTGTGACCTCAGAGTGTGCTAAGTTTTGGCTATTTGCCGAGCTGTTGCGAATCTTCGTTGGCAATGCAAGTGGTTTTGAGGAATGGGGCTATCGGAGCCTTTAACTTTGGTTCCTGGTGGATGGCAGCAGGCAGCGAAATCTGTGCCTTTGTCCAACAATTCCGCTATTAGTAGCCTCAAAAGCAAAGCGACAGTCATACACAGTTGGGCCCCAAGGCTGGGTTTGAGGCCGAGCAGGTTCTGCAAGGAACCGATCATGTATGGGGTTGCGATCCAGTGTGAGAAAGTGAGAATGGCTGAATGCTAAGATGGCAGTTTTGCACCCAGGAGTTTGAAGGTGGGGGCTTGGTTTGTAAATGGATCGCCTGCAGTTGTGCATGTAGGAGGAACTGCTTATGACTGGGCCAGCAGCATTTATCACGAAATTGACACTGGCACTTGTGGAGATCCTTGTGTTGGCTAGCATGGAGTAAGATGTGCTGGCATCATGATGGGTAGCCTTTCATATGTCACCAAGTTTGTGGCGGGGGATCGTCACAGTGTTTGACAGCCTTTTAGAGTGCAGCAGGCTTGTCAATTGAATTGGCACGTGCTTCTCGAAGTGTACATTAAGACTTTCACCCTGCGCCCTGGTGAGCTTCAGTTGTAACACTACGTGTGCGCCTGTGTGCTTCAACGCCTTGGCTTGTGCCCTGTCAGGTGGTCTATTCAGTGGTCAACCAGATGATCAAATAGAAAGTTGACAATCATGGGGAACTGCACAGCCTCGAACCAGGCAGGCTATTCCAGGTCTGCAAATGCCCTTTGTGTACACCCAAGGTCAAGAAAAGAAACGGTGCTTTATGTGAACTCTGTCAGAATTGAAGAAATGCCACCCAATAGGCCGTCTGCTTTCACGGAAACGAACGCCTGCCGATACGCGATCGTGAATGGCCAAGCCTCAGCAGCCCATTTTCGTTGCAAAATTGCATACGTTTGAGATCAAGGGGTGAACGTACCCTGAAGGCCCAAAAGCAACCTTCGAAGGCAGAGCGTTGATCAAGAGGCTGAATTGCCCATTCCACCTACTGGGAAGGAACCTCCAAGAGGGCCTTTCCATATTCCTTCCCTTGTGCCGCAGGAGTCCAATCGGCTTCATTGGGAGCCAGTCGTCTGAAGGCATGCTGCCAAGGTCCATCCCAACCTCGCCAGCGCTGAGTCCCACTGCTTTTCACGCAACTTCGCGCAGCTGGAGCGTTTCTCAATCCCGTCCATTCACGTCCCGGGCGCCCAGTCCTCATCCCACCTCGCGGCGCCGCCGAGGCGCACCCCAACGTTCCCAACTCGCGCCAAACCTCAATCCGACGGCCGATGCGCCGATGGCCACGCGCCGCCGCTCAAAACTGTCGATCGTCCACCGCCAACCGCCCGCTACTGGACGCCGTTTGCCGTCCGCCCAACAACCCATTCCGCGCCAACGCCCGGCGACAGCAACTGCCGGTGACCTGCGGCAATCGCGCCACACCCAGCGCCTTGGCGACGTGCACCGACAAGTTGACGTGCGCACGTCATCGTCAGTCCCCGCCGGTCGCCGTACAGGGTCCCACGCGTCCCTGCCGCCACACTCAGCGCCTTCAACACCGAATTCCATCAAGCCCCAATCCCATTTGGTTGCCGGGCTCTCGCGTACGCAAAACACCGTCGCCACACAGGCGAGCGGACGGCTCCCGTGGCTTGCCCGCCGGGAGGTTGCCCCCGCTGGGCGGCCGCGGCGCTTGGAGTGGGCGGGCGCGCCGGCGGGCGCCGCCTGTGGCCCGGCGGGCTCGGCGGGAGGCTCAGCAGGGAGGTGGGCTGGCTCTGGGGCCCGTCGCCAGGATGGCCGATGCGCACCTCAAGACGACGTCCAGGACGGTGACCGACACAATCTACGGTGCGAATGGCCGGGGATGGGGCCAGATGGGGATCGTCCTGCGCGGTCTGGGAAGGGGGTGTGGATCGGGGTGTGGCCGTGGCTGAGGTGGGCATATGTGTGTGTGGCCATGCAGGGGAGCACACCCACACTATCGTGGGGTACAGCCTGATAAAGGGCATAGGAGACGGGGAGCCCATAGCCAGCGAGCGGTTCACGGTCGGGGGCCACGAGTGGGTAGGTCGTCGGGCGGGCGCGGCGGGGGGTTGCTGGGAGATTGGAAAAAGGGGGGATGAATCGCGGGAGAGGGGCGGGGCAACAGAGGGCCATGGCGGAGGCCGGGCGCTGCGGGGTTGTGAGGAACGGATGTGGGCGGCCCGTGCCCCCGCCGCGGTCGTGGGGACGATCAACTCACGGTCCCCGAGTTTCCAGTTTCGTGAACTCCAGACGTTCCGGCGCCTGCTTTGTTATTGGGCCCTGATTATTGGCCCCTGGCTGGAAGGATGGGCGCCGAACGCCCCCCCTCTGCGTGGGCACCGCTTCCCACGTCGCGCCTGGCGCCTATCAACAGCAACGCTGCGCAGCGGAGCAAGCCGCCGCGTGTTGGATTGTTCGAGAGGAGGGCGGCCCTGGGGCGCCCGCCCCTGCGCTGTGGCATCCTGTACCAAGTTGCAGCGCTGCCTGGCCTTCAGGCGCCATGTACTGGCCGTTGAAACCGCGCGGGTACTCTGTCCCCGTGCTGTCTTTCTGCAGCTGCAGACGAGCCGTCCCTGAATCGCGTTTGACCTCCTGCGCCTCCAGGTTCTGTTGTTCTACCCCGATGGCAAGCGAAGCTCCTCGGAAACACAGGCTGCCCCGGCGCAGCACGCAATGCCGCCCAATCTGCCCCAGCCCGTCCCGGCTGCGCAGGGCAGGGCAGGGGCTCCGGATCCCATGATGATGCTGCCAGGCCGGCAGGTTGCAGGTGCTGGCGATCAACAGGCTCCGGGCGGGGGAGCGATGGCTGGGGGGCAGATGCAGCAGTTCCCACCCCATCACCATCTGATGGTGCCGGGAGTGCCTCCCCAGGTGGTGCCACCAGCCATCCACCGGCACGTGAGGAGAGACGCAGCCAGGAGGGTGTTCGGGGAGGAGGTGAGCCCTGGCCTTAAGAGGGTGTTTTATGGCTCCTGTGGTTGACCATCGTTTTCTTGATTGAAGAGGGCCATCATCGACCCCTTGCTGCCTTTAGGTGGACCATGTGCTGAATTGAATCCTTTGATTGGACTTCTCAAAGTCAGATTGCAAAACAGTGCCTTCACGTAGGCAGTCTATATTGAAATTGATTCTATTCGCAGTGACTGCTGGCAATGCACAGTTGGGTAATTTCACCTACCAGGCGCTGAAGCTCTATCCCTTTTTTGTTGTATGGACTGTTTCTCCCCTTTTCAGGCAGTGATCCTCACAGGCGGCTGGTTCTGCTCCTATGTGCGTTGGCAAGCATTGGACCTCTCCCTGTGATAAGGAACGTGTTGGGCAATATGTTGATTTGGAAGGTCATCGGACCACCAGTCGTCAAGATTGCATCTCAAAGACCCTGACTGTGTTTTTTTGTGTGTGTGTGTGTGTGTGCTTGTTTGAACATAGAATGAATATGCTGCTCTGTTTGTGGCATTGATCGGGGAAGGGGCCAGTCCACAGGTAAAACTCTACAAATTTCCCGGCTCGTTTTGCTGCTTATCTGCGAGTTGGTGCCACACAGACATGGACAATGTTGCCTCATGCACCTGGCCCAATGTTCCCACCTCTGTCACAGTTCTGCGATTGTGCATATTGCATTTGTGCATGACATGGCCAGTCTATGCAACTGCATCTGTGTTGCCAGAGCACACTGACCTGCATGGTGCATGCCTCCTAATTGTTGGGGTGCTATGTTATATGCAGTGTCTCTGATATTTGAACCACAGGACCATCTGGATTATGTCTTCCCTTGTTCCATGCCATGGAGTGTTTGTGCTGTGACTCTTACTGTTTGTCTACTACGAATAGCTGTGAAGCAGACCTGTGTTGGGGAACACCCCAGACCAACAGTGGGGACTGGATGCCAGAGTTTGTGCTACATCAGTTTGTAGTACATCAGAAACAAAATAGATGCCTAAACTACAGCCTTTGATTTTGATCTTCATCTAAGTTGCTCTAATGTAGTGTGCTTGCCAGTTGCAAGTGCTGTGGAAGCTGTGTGTGAGTGTGTTATTGTGCTTTGTGTCTCCGTGCGTGGCAGAACTGCATGCCAGGGTTCAGTTGCCAAATTTCATGCTGTGTGCTGAGGCGGTAACATGTGCGGTGTTTAGCATTCCCTTTACAACCTTCTGTTTCTGATATGCTGTTCACATTCTGTGTATCGTATCCCTGTGTCCTGATTGAGCGGAGGAGCGGTGTTGTCCATCATGCCATAGCAGCTGCCTTGGCAGACCGGGTTTGTGTGCTACTCATGGATCAACAGGTGGAGTCTTGGTCTGTGTGTGTTAAGTGTCTCAAAGTGTGATTTGTCCCTTTACTACAGTATTGTGCTCCCTGGACTCCTTGGAACGCCCTAGATTTGTTTGAATTCGTTGCACCCGCCATAGTTGACAAATGCGGGTGCCTGGCAGGGTGTGGTCAGCACCAGCGATGGCAAGGTTGTCAGAGCCTTCCACAGGTTTACACTGGTCGATCAAACAGGCCAGGGCAGGGACATCACAAAGGGACGGCTGCGAGAGGCGGGAGCTGTCAAGATCAGCTGCGCAAGGCAGGACCCCAATGCCAGGAACTGCCATGGTTACAGGAAGTTTGTTCGCCGCTCCACTTTGGAGGACCCCTCAAAAGGCTACTTGGTTGATGACACTGTGGTGATCAAGTACTCCATAGAGTTGGTGGTCACTCAAGGTAGGCTGAGGTGGCCCCTTCAGCTTGCTGTGCCAACATTTGCGGTAGGGGCTTGTAACATCTGGTGGATCTGGACATGCCCAGCACTGTGCAGTGTCTGTTTTAGACAGACTCAAATGTACCAGGGCCAGTATTTGCAGTGATTTCGTATCGCCACAGCTTCAAAACAGGAATCTCAGAGGGTTTGTGTGTGTATGTAGCAGCCAGGATGGCACTGATAGTGTTTAGAGGGTCTTGTCTCGTGTGGTGGATACCTTGTTGTTGTCCAACTTGCATTTCAGTAAGTGTGGATAGGACTTGTGGACACGGCTGACCCCTTCTGAGTGCCATACTCACGTGGATGTCGCTTGCGCTGCGTCCGCCTGAGTAAATCCTCAGTGTTGCGCCACAAGGGATGTTGATTGCTTCGACCTGTCCCATTCCATATGGGAACGCTGATGTGTGCACACGACGCCGTGTGGACCAAATACCAGGATTCAATGTGCCTTTTTGGAAGGCTGGGCGCGTCAAGATAATCTCCCTTTCATGAGCTGAAGGGATCGTTGCCACATTGCTTGCGTTGGCCTTGTCAGCGGAAGAAGAAGGGATCCTCATGGAGTAGGCAGAGGGACTAATACATTCTCCACAATGAACATGCGGTCAACGTACTTTGGAAGCATGTCGAAATGTACCGAAAACAGTGATCAAATGTACGATGACAATTTCGAAAAATACAAAGAAAACTAGCACACTGGACAGTATTTGGCACAACTCAAGTTGCGTCCAGCTTTCAGTTGCATAAAATCAAGCATGGGGGGATGTGTTGTAGCAACGGTTGCCATACGATGGCCTGCATGTTTGTGCCTGTGTTCGCATGGGTTTAAGGTGCAGTTTTGGCAACACAGGTGGGGCGCTGACCCGGTGTGTGACCACCAACCATGTGAAGTCTGAGCTCATCAAAGTCCCGCCGCCCGTGCTGGGCAGGGACCTTGCCACCCTGCTGGACAGCGGGAAGGGAGCCGATGTGAAGATCACAGTGGAGGACGAAACTTTTGAGGCACATAGATTCATCCTGGAAGCACGGTCGCCAGTGTTTCATGCACTTCTCAACATCCCCATGCGAGAGGGCTCTGAGGGCGTTGCTGACATCAAGGACATCCAACCACCAGTCTTCAAGGCACTCCTCTTCTTCATGTACACCGACTCGTTGCCAGACGAGCTCGAGGATGGGCAGATGGACGCCGCGATCGCCCAGCATTTGTTGGAGGCGGCTGATCGGTATCAGCTCGTGCGGCTGCGCCGTATCTGTGAGAGGAGACTCTGCCAGACGGTGGATGTGGACACAGTTGCAACAACACTGACGCTGGCAGAGCAGAACCACGCAGAGGTGGGCACGTGGTCGTGCCGTCGCCCGTGAAGTCAGTGCTAATACCTGCCTGTTGTTGTCGCGGTTCCTTGCTTTTTGTCTTCCAGAGCACATGCGGTGGCCTGTCACCTTAGGGGGCAGAGCACATTGGCAGGCTCTTACTATGATCTGTGGAAGCTGCTGGCGGGAAGGATCTGTTATTCTCTACAGCCTGCATTGAAATCTGAAACTGCTCAATTGCCCTCTTGTCCTGCATCTTTGCTTGGCTTGATACTTTGCTTTGGCATCGGGTGCTTCTTGATAGTCCTGGATGCTATGTGTGCGAAAGCCAGGTGTTATGCAAGAACAAGTGGCACGTTTTTGGTTTGCACTACCCGTTGGAAGGGTAAAACCTCCTGCTTGTTCTGACGCAAGTGAGTCGACTATGTGCTGCAGGAATTGAAGCGCGTGTGCTTGGATTTTGTTGCTCGAAATCTGTCGGCCGTGATAGCCACAGATGGCTACCAGCACATGCTTGCAAGCTGCCCCTCCCTGCAGGCGGACATCATCAAGACTGTGGCTACCATTCCCGTGCCCCAAGAGCGCCACTCCCACCGGCACCCACACCTCAGGCTACATCTTCGTGAGCACGGTGAAGGGGAGGACGGCAGGAGAGTGCGACCGCGGCGTGCAGAATAGCCAGGAGAGGTGACCCACCTGGAAGCCTCTTTTGCTTGCCAGTTGGGTTCGCAGAAAGTGGGGAAAACTATCATCTTGGATGCTTGAACGACATGGGCTTCGGCAAGTTAGGTTCTTTGGGAGTGAGTGTTTTTGTGGCTGTGTTTTGGGTGCATCTGTGTGGTGTCATTTAATTGGACCAATCATGCTACATGATCAGGGGGTGGGAAAGAGGGAGATGCAAGGTATGCCGTGAGTGGATCCATAGGAAGGCAGAGAGTTGCTTGGCGTGAGTAGCGGCGTGGGTGTTGAGCAAAAGCAAGTTGTTTATTGTAGGCTGAACGAGGTAGATGAGGTTTGAGATGTAATATGATTCACATCATTCAAGCGCAGTACTGGAGGCAAGTGCACCACACACACAGCACTTGCGGGTAGAAGCGTACGTATGAGTGGCGGCAGGCGTCCAACTGGCACTATAGTGGAATAGCTCTATCAGTTCATCAACTGACCAATTTTTGTTGCTGGTGCAAGGGTCACGTTATTGGTTTGAAATCGCTGTTTCTTTGCGGTGGCCTTTTGGCTCCGGGTTGTGGTCATCGGCCTTGATATTTGTCCCACGGGATGCACCGGAGATGGGAACCGTGGGCACTGGTGGCGCGGCAGTTTTGGATCGGCGCTGACACGCTAGGAGAGACTGGTGGTTTGAGAAGAATGAGTATATGTCTCGTGAGGAGGACATCTGCCTTTTTCTGAAGATACTTTCCACTTGTGTATGCATATTGTGGTCGCAGGGTGGCAGTGGTGGGTGGGAAGTGGTGGGGCTGCTGTTCGTGACAATGGGGCGCTGGTGGCTCAATCCTATCGATATTTGTGACAGATCGTGTCTTGTTGCTGGTTGCCAGCTCGGCTTCGCGTCCGACTGTCTTCCACTTCATACGAATGTGTGGGGCGCTTAGGGCTGATGACGAGGTGCCCATTTGCTTCCTTGTCGGTGCTTCCAAACGGTAGTGGCATAGGCATGCGATGCCGACCTTCCTGGTCTGTGTGGTGTGCACTGAGCAGTTTGCAGCGGCATTGCGATGTACTCCTGCCAATCGACTGTTGAGTATGGTATGTGCTTGGAGACCCTGTGCGATTGCCACCACAAGAAAAGCCCAGCTTCCTCTTTTCATCGCCTTGTAGCTCACAGGGCGATGTTGCCGACCGACAAGCACCGGTGCTTGCTGCATCCAATTGGATGAACTTAGCCAAAAATTGGCTGCGAAATGGCACACACGTGGACGCACACGTCATGAGCCATGACATGTCTCCAGATTGATCAGTCGGCCTTGATTGTCTGACGCTGGCCCCTTGCGGAACAGGCCTCGAAGTTGGTTGCCGTCATCAACCCACAGTCCGCAACGGGCAAAAGTCAAGGCCGTTAGTGGCACATGGAAAAACATGGCTGGGACTGGTTTCTACCACTTGCTCAGCCCCAAAACAAATTTTCAATGCAAAAATGCTCTACCCTGGCGGCCCTGCCCTTTAGTTGCTTCCCGATGGCAAACCTTGCAGTCCCAGCGACGACGCGCGGTGTGCGCCCGGGGGTGCCAGCACCCCCGAACTCTTCCAGCCCCCGTGACCGACCGTCGACGGCTGACGGGCCAAGTGGATCAGGGCCACGATGGGCGTGCCCGCATTCTACAGATGGCTCAGCACGAGGTATTCCAGCCCGCCGCTGCGCGCCCAGTGGCCCCTTTCGGCCGTTACACTCGAGTGTGGACTGATCAGAGCGGCCTGGGTGGCTCGTGCTCCGCGTTTGCAGGTACCCCAAGATTGTGAAGCCGGTCATTGATGAGGAGCCCGCGGAGGTCGACGGGCAGGAGGTGCCGGTGGACCTCATGCAGCCGTGCCAGAACGGGGAATGGGACAACCTGTACCTGGTGCGATTGGATGCCCACTCGCGCGTGTGCAGATCAGCGCGGCCGCGTTTCCCCCGGGGGAAGGCAGCATTCTCCGGGGCGGCCGGCGCGAGCCGGGGCCGATGGCTCACCGGACGACGCTGACGATCGGCTGCTGATGATGCAGGACATGAACGGCATAATTCATCCGTGCTTCCACCCGGAAGACAGGGTGAGTCCGGGCGGGGTGGGGTTGAGCGGCTTCTGGCCGCGATCGTGTCCTGTCAGCTCGTTTCGTGGGGGTGATTTGCCGATGATTCGGGGCCACCTTCCTGGCGAGTCCGGCGCTGGGCTGCGACGTGTCAAGCCAGGCGGCAGGGCCTGGCTGGGATCCTTCCGTGTGCTGTGTGCCGCAGCAGCCCCAACGTCGCATGGGCTGCTCAGCCAGGCGAAATTCGGTCACAATTCTGTGGGCGAGAGGGTGTTGATGGTGCCAACGGATGCTTGTATTCTTTGGACCCACCCCTGTTGTTGAAAACTCCTGCGCCAACGTGCTCTGCGCCATCTCGAGTCCGTTAGATGCGCCGCAGGCATATTTGGTCGTTGACCGTGTCTGTCCAGTAGTCACAGCCCGCTGATGTTTTGTGCAGGAGGAGCCCACAACAGAGGAAGAGGTCTTCCAGCTGATCTTTGAGTATATCGACCATGTCTTCAGCTTGATTCGCCCCAGGAGGCTGCTGTTCATGGCCATTGGTGAGTGAGGCAAAGAGGCACCCTGTCAGCACGTCGAAATGGCACACATCCTGGTAACGTTGGTTGGAAAGTGCATCCATCACAACACGCAGTGTAACCAATCACTACACCGACACCTTGTTGGGCGAAGTCCAGAGAGTTTTGCGCTCACCAGAATGTTTCGAATATGCTTTGGCACAGCCCCCCACCCCACCCCATCCCACCCCACCCCACCCCACCCCACCCAACCCCACCCCACCCCACCCCACCCCACCCAACCCCACCCCACCCACCCCCCCAAGATCAACCAACAATGACCAATAAGCACAGCACTCCCAGGGGTGTGTTGCCTCGCTAAATTGGCCCATGACTCTCGTCTACCACTGGCACAGCACCAATGCAAGGCATCACTGGACCCCAAGGTTTTGTTCCAGTGGTTTTGCGGTCAATCTGCCTGACTTTGTTCCTTGGGATGCCTGCTGTGGCAGACGGAGTGGCACCTCGGGCGAAAATGAATCAACAGAGGTCACGCCGCTTCAAGTCCATGAAGGAAGCTGAGGACAAGGTGCATGCACACACACAGTCAGCCCTTTAGATCAGCTGGGTTTCGATGCTATTTGGAGGTTTGGAGACACATTTGCAGATCCACAAGCAGCGGACGGAGATGCTACACATTCTTGTGTTGATGCTCCATGCAGACTGATGCATAACAATCGCAACCCAACACATATATACACACTGACCTGTGGTCAGCACGCACAGTTTCTTCAATCCCAAAGCACAGCATTGGCCAATGGACCAGGCGATGTTGTGTGTGTTTTGATTGGGTGTTCCTTTCGATTGGGTGTTCCTGTGCATCTTTACCGTTGTCAGCCTTCACACATCAATACGATGGAACATATCCTTATAGATAGCTTCCTTCTTCCTGCCCATTGTCGATTGCAGACATCAATGGTAGATGAAACACAGGGGAAGGGGAATTTGAGCGACAAACACACATAGATCTGCTCCCTTGGGTTTGTACGAAATGAACCACTTGTTCTGTGGGAAGTTGCTTTCAGTTGTTGAGCCAACAGACTATGAAGGAGCCACTGGCAAAAATAAATGTCGACTTTTGAAAGCTGCCCTAATCGTCACCCTTCTCCACAATGCAGCGCACAACAGGACAGTAAAGGGAGACTGAGCTTTGGCTTGCGTGCCACAATTAGTCCTGGTGGTCGATCCTCTCCTCGTGATTGTGTTGAGGGCACAGTCTCTGTAGTGGAACCTGCGATTGCTGGTTGATTGACAGGGTTTGACTGCAGACATGGCCTGTCACATCAGGTGGCAGCGACCGCAGGTGGCAGTACCTGGAGGTATCAGGACCTGCGCTTGTGTTTGCCCATGTCATAGGTCCTACTTGGGCATGGTGACAGCCCATCCCAGATGTGACAGGTCAAGGTGATGACCCCTCACACTCGTGCCGGTCTCTGTCTCCCATCAGCACCCAAGACCCCAATCGCGATGTGACTGCAATTGTACAGGGAAATCCTGCATGATGCAGCACAGGGGCCCGTGAGGAAGATTTAAGTGTTTGCTTTCATACTAAGTGCCTTTGCAAGCTTTTATTTTTTATTAAAGGGCTTGACTAGTAGCAATCACTGTTACAATTGTTGTTTATGTGCTTGTAAATTGGGGGGTGAGGATTCCTTTGTGAAGCCAGAATGGAACAAGGGCAACTGGACCCACCCCAAGCCGCACATCATCAATGGGGTCCAATGCCTTACTGTGCACAGCTTCGCTTTGGCAACACTTGGGCTGCTTTCTGCATTGTGCTGTGGCCCACTGGGAATTGACTCATTACCCAATTCAGCAAGGATTCAATCTTCACTTTTTTGGTGAAATAGTAGAAGGCAGTGCTGACTGTTTCCTTTGTTGCCCCCAGAGAAAGGAGGAAGAGAAATTGAGGAATGAGTTCAGTGATATGGGAGTGAAGGTGAGTCATCCTCACAAGACATTTGCGTCTCCCTGTGCTGAAAGCTCCCAGTTGTATTACGATGTGCGGATGAGGTGGTGACAAGAGATTGGGCAAGCTGTTAGTGAGTTTCGTTGTGTTGGCCACCACCTGCAAGGTAGCATTGGATTCGTCATATTTTGTTGATGGACATGAACAAGTCAACGCTGATGTGGCATGGTCAGTTGTATTTTTTTTAGTGTTCTCAAAGGCGATTTGCACCAAATGGGTGTTGCTTGGATTGTGGGTCTTCTGCAGCCAGAAGACGTTGCCACTTGTGCAGTGCTGTCTGCTCATCAGGTGTGCTTGCTCTTTCACTGCCACATTGCACTTTGTGCTTGTGTTCAATGCAGATGCCACCACATGGTGTGCAGAGGTTTAGAAGACAACGCTGCAGCTGTCGGTGCCATTTGGGTGCTGAGCACAATAGCAGAAGTGCCAAGAGCAGTGCCTGATATCACCTTGTACTTATAGTTTCTGCTGCAAGACAGTTCACTGTAAGACTCGTCTTACAAGTTTTGGACAGCTCCCTATTCTTACGTCAATGTGGGCGGTGGCCTATGTTCTTGGTGGTAGGCCACTGATTTGTAACCAGTTGCCCAGCTGTTGTCCACATGGATGGCTCCAGCAGAAGCAGCGCATTCTCATAGTCATCTACCTCTAAACATTTTTGTGAACCTGACAGCCTCCTGTTTGCTTGTACTCCTGGCCTGCTGATCTGGGATCCCTGTCTGGGACTGTGAGGGGGTATACCTTGCCTGCACTGCCACTCTGATTGTTGTTCTTTTGGTGGACTCTGCAGGTCCCTCACAAGAAGGAAAAGGGGGGGCAGCTCTTCGACAGCAATGTCATCACTCCGGGCACAGCGTTCATGGCCCGGCTATCCATCGCCCTTCAATATTACATTCGCTTGAGGCAGAACACATTGCCAGCATGGAAAGATCTGATGGTAAGTTTTTGCAGGTGACCGTCTATGCATTGCTGAAAGACCGCAGCAGGAAGAATTCCCAGCTGCTGTGACATGCTGTGCTGGTATGGTCACCGATGGAAGCAAAGGCCAGTTGATGCCACTTGTAATTTTTGGGAAAAGCTTGTTGAGGAGGTCTGCTCTGTCCGGTGGCGAGCTGTATTTGATTTGCACTTTACCTTCAGCTGCCATAGTGGGGCATTGTTGTTCAAGCCACAATGTTCCAATTCTCCTTTGGTGTGCTGTTGGCATTAGAGTGTCGCTTTGCCAATGTTGAGCTAGCAGTGGTAACATCGTTTGTTTTTGTAGGTTTCTTGGCAGCATCCAGGGAGGCGGGCCATTGTTGTGACAGTGTCTACATGTTCGTGTGACAGGTGATCCTTTCAGATGCCAATACCCCCGGAGAGGGAGAGCACAAAATCGTGTCGTACATTCGAGAGCAGAGGGATAGAAAGGGGTGGGATCCGAACACACGGCACGTTCTGTATGGGCTGGATGCTGACCTCATCATGTTGGCACTGGCTACGCATGAGCCACATTTTGCCATTTTGCGGGAGGTGCGAGCGATTTGAGAATGCATGGCTTATTTGTTCACTTGGAACAATAGAGGGCCTGGTTTGTTTTGTGGAGGTTGTGTGGTCCTTTTGGTGAGCTGAATCCCCCATTTTGGTCAGGCATTGTTGCTTATCCATTGCTTCAATGGAGCTCTTTGGGGGTTTGTTGTTTAAAGGGGTGGAGTTGCATGGCTTGTCTCACTGTTACAGTGCTTCGTACCACCTGAAGATGTTGATGAATGCTGATGTGCTTCTGCAGACCGTTTTGAAATTGGTGACTTGGTAGTGTTTTTGGCCGGGGCGGTTCGCTGCCTTGGATAGATGCATTCTGTGACATCGATGCTGTGCATCTACTGACGGCAGGCATGCCCCATTTGTTGACCTTTGTTGTGTCTGTTTTCTCAAGACAACGCGATGGCACTGAGAGTAGTTTATGTATTGTTCAGGTGATAAATTTTAACCAGAAGGATGGCACCAAGGACAGTTCTGTGGCAGCCCTCAGCACAGCCAGCCCTGCAAAGAAAGCAAACATAGCTAAGAAACCATACCAGCTCCTATTCGTCCACATCTTGCGCGCGTACCTAGCCCTAGAACTGCACCAGGATGGCCTACCCTTTGAGTGGGATGAGGAACGTGTCTTCGACGATTTTGTCTTTCTGTGCTTCTTTGTTGGGAATGACTTCTTGCCACATTCGCCAACACTGGAGATCCGAGAAGGGGGCATTGACTTGCTGATGCGAAGGTAAAGTGCTGTTGGCAACTGGCTGCCCCTCCTGAGTTGCATGACTCGTGTTGGTTACTGGCTGTAATACATCTTCTGGAAGGGTGTTGTTCTGTGTTGATGTCAGTAAGGGATTGCCATCAACCGAGTTTCTCTGTGTTCAAGAGAAAGGGACGCAGCTGCCTCAGCCGGCACATGCTCCATCTCATCGCAGCTTATCTGTCTCCTTCAACAGAATGCCATGCTTAGCATATTGCTCATCCACCAAGGGACACAACACCATCTGAAACAATGTGTGCAGTTGGTAGCAGTTTTCTGTTGTGCACCAAGCTCCTGAGTGTGTGGCAGAACTCTATAATTGCTCAACGAATGGAATGCGAGGACAACTGCCACAGAGACATGGTTGCTACATTGTCGTTTGTTGTACCAGTGCTGATGGTGTGCTGGCTGCTGCATCTGTTGCAAGTTGCATCTGACATTTGTACAAGTTCAGCAGGCTTTTGAATTCAGAACAAGGCTGACTGGCAGCTGTTATCGGAACTTTTGGAGTTTGAACACTGAGCAGTATTGTGCCTCTGTATGCTGCTGACAGATTCCTAGTGTCTCCACAACCTGGGATACCCTCCCTTCAATGAATGCACAACGTTGTGCAGAATGCAGCAAACCGCGTATGCACCTCAGATTGGGGATTGTGAGGATGTTGGTGTGTGTTGCTCAGGTACAGGAAAATTTTGCCTCAGTTGGGTGGTTATTTGTGTGAGGGCAGCAAGGTGAATCTGAAGCGCGTGGAGATGCTGGTGCAGGAGGTGTCGAAGGAGGAGGAAGACATCCTCCGATCAAGGATGAAGAGGCAGAAGGACCAAAGAGAAAATAAGGAAAGGCAAAGGTGATATTCGCACAAGACACCGTAATGCACATCCCTTTCATGCTGTTATGTGGGACATCTTTGGATCAGAGCAGCACCAACTTGCAGCACATCTTTTAGAAACAAGCTTTGGTCAATGCGGGTTGATAGCATACTTAGCTTGTGCTACACTGGCGACACACGACTATGCAAGATTCAGTTGAATGGCAGCTGGGTTCAGCAGATTGCTGACCAGCCGGTGGTGTGTATCCTGGTTGTCCATCTTGGTCACAGTGACTTTCAAGCCCTGAGCCGAGATCTGAGCCTGTTGTCCTCAAAGAGCTCCAGAGAAGATCCATATTCCGCAACCACAGTTCAGAAATGTTGACAGGCACAGTAGAGGATCAGTGAAAGAGCAAACGGGGGAAGATGAGAGTTTGCTGCTATCGGCAGTGCTTGTCTGGTCAGGCATAATTATGCCATATTTGTCGTGTGTAGCAGGTCTTGGAAATGGGGCTCTGGTGATCCTGTTCTGGTCACAGGCTGTCACTGTTGTGCTTCCATGATGTGTGCGCTCCCATTCCATGAAAAGCAGTTAATGGCAAATCACAAACAGGATTTTGTTGCAGGCCAATCAGTCGTGCTGACTCTTTGCTGTCATCTGTGTACCTGTTGTTGGCTGCCTGTGTTAAATCCCAAGTCACTGGCCTTTGGCCGCCGCGGGAGCCACTATCCAATGTTGCCTGAAAACTCTTTCATGGCATCAATCTGCAGTGGTCGACTTTGCAAGTATTCTCCAGCGAACACTGTAACTTCCTGTGATTTCATGCTACCATTCGGATAATGGAGTGTTCTGCCATGCTGAATGGTTGCCCATATGGTTTGGATACAGAAGATGATCTTATCTACAGAAAGCAGAGCTTGTCATGCAGCAGGCACACCTTCTGAGCAGGAATGTTGTGTTCTGCTTTTCCACACTGTCTAAACGTGACTGTTGATATTCCAGCGCATGGCCTGCAGTAGTGATTTATCAGGAAAGTTTCCCTCTAGTGTGGAATATGTCATGGTCTTTGTGTAGCTGGCACACTGTATCACGACCACTTGCCGTTGATTGTATTCTTAGATTGTATGCCTGAGTCAGTCCTGTGTGCTTGCTCACCCCAGCTAGTTTGTGGCATTGAGTACCGTTTGCGTTTCATTTGTTGCACACATGGACACTACCCTTGCCTCCAGAAGGTGCTGTTGGCCACATTTGACATCAACGTCGTGGATTTGTTTGCTGGTTACCATTTTACTCCCAGAGTCGCTCCATTGCCCCCAGTGCAGGTAGAGCATTGGCCTGATGCTGGTTTCTGTTTTTGTGCCTCAGAAAGCGGCATCAAGAAGAGCGGAGCAAGAAGAGCGGAACCGGTCAGGGCAGGCACGTCCTACCGTCCGTCTTGATAGCGCTTTGATCAAGAAGCCGCCCAAGTTGCTGGTTCGTCCTGCCACCCAGCGGTGTGGTCCTCAGGAGTCCGGGACTGCTCAGTCAACAGAGCGGCAGCCGAGCACAGGACCAAGGTGCAGCGGATCAGCCGATGGAGTGGCTGGAGTGCGAGGCTGAGTGGCCGCTGCTGCGACTGTGCTGTTGCCATTGCATTTTGTTGTCTAGAGTCACTCTTGTATTCTATCGCACATTCTGACAGATTCTTACACTTTTGTGGATACTTCAAGTATCATTTGTGTTGCATCTATTGCATTCTTGCATGGGCCAGCCTTGACGAGCCCTCCTGCTTATAGCTCGCTGTCTTCAAACACTGGATGCTTGTCAAGGTCCTCATTGCAGCAGGCTGTGATTGTAGTGGTTGCTTTATCTGTCATTTGTTGTTCCGTGTTTACCCCTTACATGTGTGGGCTGAGCTTCTACTTTGTTTCTTCAGTGTGAAAAGGCGAACACTGCCTGTTCACACCCAACAGAGCTGATACTGGGGAATGTGAACCAATTGGGTGTGTTAGGCACATTGTTGGCTTGCTCACGATTCCTTTTCTTGCAAGGCGGTGCGCCAAGAATGCGGTATAGAGTGTATGGTTCGCCTAACAACAGTGGTGTGTATTGCAGCAACTCAACATCAACGAATCATGAGGACTTATGGAAAACGATGGAGAGCGTTCGCATGCAGAGGCAAGATGGCTCACAAGACAGCAGTGATGTGAGTTCCAGCAACCCACCACTGACGAATCATGAGGACATATGGAAGACGATGGAGAGCATTGGGAAGAAAGATGACAAAAACCCATTCAAGGTAGGAACATGGCCTGCTCGCAGCCTGCCCATCTGCTTTGAGGCTGGTGGAGTGTTGGTCAGGAGATTGGGTGTATTTGAAGATTCTGTATATTGGGAGACGTGTTTTACGATCGTGAGTCTCAGTCATATGGGAACACTCCATCGTGCAAGAATGCATTGTGCATGTGTCTGCTTGCAGTGCTACAAGGCCATTGACAGCAAAGGAAATGAAAGCTTACTTTGATTTGCATCAAAAGGGACTGCTGCACACACATGAAACTTGCCCCCATTTTCACAGTGCGATGGCCAACGAAATGCTGCCTTCGTTGGAGCACAACACTGGTAGCAAAACAAACATGGGATGGAGGGGGCAGATGTAGGCTTGAGTTTCACATCGTCTGGGATGCGACTTCTTCATACCATGTGCAGATGAGATGGGCCAGCTCACAAAGGTCACACGGCTCTGCTCAATCTTCTGTTAGGATAAGTTGGGCGGAGCCAATTCTGAAAACAAGAATAGGCAAAATGCGCATCCCCAGATGTGACGAACATTGCAGGCGAAATGAGGTGCTGGAAAGAAAGCATCCTGCTGCAACTAGAGTACTGGTTTGTTGCTGTGCTGGAGGTTGCTCGTTTGTCCTGATCATCATACATGCATGGTGCTTTAGGGTGTGAATTGGCCAATGCTAAAGATTTGACATTTGGCACTGAGAGTAGATTTTGCTGGCAAATGGTTGCTTGCAGCTGCCAGCAGAGACTGTATCTGGTGAAGCCAGTGCAGAGAAGGCAGCTAAGCTCCAAAAGGAGTTCGAGAGTAAAATCAATGGCATCATGAAGGAAAAAGGAGATAAGTTTGATGAGATGATGGAGCATGATGCAAACATGGCATTGGGGGAGGAAGGGTACAAGGACAGATACTACAAGGTGGGGTTCCATGACATACTATTTTCCGTCTTTTGCTTGACACTTGGAATTTTCAGGTTTTGAAAGGGACCTCCCTGTCATGAGCTGCACAACATTCACGCAGACAGTCAGCGGCAGATGCACAAGTGCAAACTGCCAGTGCTGTTGAGGACGGATTCCAAAGATCCTCCCCCTTACCTCTGGAGACCTCATGTCAGATGGTATGCAGCATTATTTACAACGAACTGAGGCAATGGTTCTGCATATTGTGCTCCATGCATTGAATCAGGGAAAGATGCATCTTTGGGAGTTTAATATCTTTCCCATGATGACAGCATACGATGCTATTGTGCTGATCTTCTCCAGTGCATGCAGCATCCTATGCAGTCCATCCCTCTCTTTCCAGGCCGCCAGCGACAAGCTACCTAATGATTTCTGCCATCGCTTTGAACATGTGAGAGTAGTGCTTTGTCACTTTTGCCATGTCACAGATAATAAACATGTTGTGCAATGGGAAACCACCACAACATGGGCAATAATTATGATAGACTCTTTATTACACTGCACAACTCTGCAAGAGCAACATGGACAGCATGGAACGCAAAGTGGTGCCATTGGTATATATTTAGGGACCTGGATGATGTTGTGTGTACTTCTTTGGTGAACCAAGTGCAGAACACAGATCAGAGCATTCCTCAAGAGATGCAAGCATGCAAAAGAATGCAAGGGGGGCACCACGAGCAGACTAGTGTCAAGGGATAGTAGCTGTGGGATTGTTTCACACAAATGTTAGCTTACAAGAATGCTTTTGTGGTGACTTTGCCATCGTTTCATTCATTGCTGGCAGTAACAACTTACTGCAGCACTTGTTCTTGGTTGAGTGCGTCCAGGAATCTTTTACTCTGCAACTTAGGTGGTGCCATCAGCTGTGTTGGCTGTCACATCTGTGCACAAGTGTCACAGAGCTCATTGGTGAACTGCTTGATCTTGTGAAGAAGTTGTGCACATGCAGGATATACCACTTGACACTTCTATGCCAATTTGTTCGCACGATGCAGTGTGAGCATGGGGGAGAGCTAACACCTGTTGCTGTGCTGACCAACAGAGCAAATTCCCACACCACAAGAATTTGCAGGAGGTGAAGGATGGAATGGTGACGGCATATGTGGAGGGCCTGTGCTGGGTGATGGGCTATTATTATGATGGTGTGCCCTCCTGGCGATGGTTCTACCCCTACCACTATGCACCATTCACATCTGATCTTTGTCAGATGTCCCACATCCAGCCATGTTTCGAACTTGCCAAGCCCTTTGACCCCATCCAGCAGCTCATGTCTGTCTTACCGGCAGGAAGTCGCCACAGCTTGCCTGAGGTATAAATGGGCACTATCTTGTATTATCTGGCTTAAAATGAGAACTAGAAGCCAGATTCCCTGCATCGTGTTGAACTGTTATTGGCCTGTTGTGTTTCGATTGATTAACTTGATGGATGGAAGTTAAGAAGAAGGGATCCCTGCAGAAGAATCAGTGTGGAGAAGGTCGTTTTTCACCAGATACATTGTTGGCAGTGTGTTGTGTTGTGTTCAGCCCAGAGCCCAAATGCACTGCAGTTGGAGTTAAAAATGTCATGGAATAGTGTGCGTTGTCGCAAGTTGTATCTGCGTTCCACTGCTTTTCACTACACTATCTGCACAAATAGTTTGCGCATAGCTGCACCGTCGCTAGCACCCACTGGTTACCATTGCCAGAGAAGACTGTGCAGGCCTTGCCTTTGTCACTTTTTCGCATTTCAATGGTCACACGACTTGTGGGCACAGGGCAATTTCTGCCAAGCTTTGTTGTCAGCTGCTTGTTCAGTCAGCTCGCTATTACAACTCGTGCATGCTGTTGAAATTAAGTGTCTGGTGTGATTGCAGCCTTTGCAGCATTTGTTCATATCAAAGGACTCCCCCATCAAGGACTTCTATCCTTCAGACTTTGAGCAAGACATGAACGGCAAACGCTACCTGTGGCAGGCTGTGGCCCTACTTCCCTTCATTGATGAGGACAGGCTTGTGAAGGCAATGGAGTGAGTGTTGCGCCCTTGTTGGCTTGTGTGTTTGGCACAATATGTGTGGCCGACCCTTGCTGTCCTCCAGTGTCTGTTCTATGACCTGTCAGTTCCGCACGTGCCCATTGTACTACTGGATCACGTGTCTGTGGAGATGGTGCGCCACAGACATCTGTTGCTTTTGTGTATATGTTCTTTCACTTGGCGGGCTAATCCCTGTTGGCACACAAAGGAATGACCAGCCAACTTTATCCATGGTCTTCGGTGTGTTGCATAAGCACACATTTGTGCATAAAATTGCAGAATCCTGACAGAGCATTTGGAGATCACAGAGGAAATTTGTTCCCTAGCGATGTGGTGTCTCCAGAGCAGCAGAAAGGCAACAAGGCAAAGTCGCCCTGGCCTTCCATCTTCCTGCACCACTCCGCCTCCAGCTGATGCAATGCGGTTGGTGTGCTTGGAAGTAGCATACTTGTGCTGTCCACTGCTGTGTCACAGCTGAGCAGCTCCAACAATGCTGCGAATACCCGCATTCAGAGTTTTCTATGTCCTGTTGTGCAGGCCACACATGTCGAAGCTCACGCCTGAGGAGAAGGAAAGAAACACAACCAAGCCCCACCAACTCTATTTGCACAGTGCCCATTCGTTGGCACCGGCAGTCAGGGAGATGGCATGCACTATGAAGGGCGTCCCAGGCAAACAGCGATTCCAGAGCAAAGTGGCCATAAATCCTGGAGATGCCAAGGTAAGATGAAGCAAGTATGCTGTGTGCCCCACTTCTGGGGCACTTCGTTTTGAATGGCATTGCTTTGCTTCTCATCATAAGTTGACCACGTTCACCTCTTTGGTGCAAGAATGTGTTCTCGTTGCTTTCTTGACGATGAAAAATATTCTGGAGCAAGCTCATGACATTATTCAATAAGCCAAGATCAACGGGCGCTGTACAGATGCTTCTGTCTGCCTTGCATGCAGCACCTTGCCCTGCAATGATTCCAGAGTGTGACTTAAAGTTGCATTCTTAAGCTCAAGCGATTGACGCAGATAGAAAATGCCCTTGCTGATGCAGAGTCATGGAGTGGCAGGTAGTTGTCTTGTTCGAGTTGCAGAGTGGCAAGTCACAGAGGTCACCCGCAGGCTGCAGTCGCTGGTCTTTTTGGTGTGGTCATTGCACATTGCAGTATCCATGGCAGTGACATGTGCCACATCGGGTTGTGCACTCCTGAGAGATAACTTCATGCTCTTTTGGATTGTTCTGGTGTGCATCATCCTAATTCTTACTGTAACTGCTTTCGTGACCGAAGGGTATGAGTGGCTTCATTGGTCTTCCTGCTGGGGACCACTGCCCTTCAGTCGTCCAGGCGCCTTTCAAACTTGGGAAGGACATCATGGCCAACCGGGTTTTGCGCATTGTGTACTTCTACCCACCGCACAAAATGCACCAAGCTCGCCTGTTGGAAGGGGCGTATCTCCCGGTGCGTTTGGTGTAGTCATGCAGAACATGTATGGCAATGCTTGTTAGTGATCTCGGAATGTTTGCATTGCACAGAATGAGCACCGAATCAGTTGCATGGCGGCTTGGTGTGCTGCGACCTCTGTGGTCTGACTTGCTCTGCCCCTTGGCCACCAAGCGCTCAACGTAACATGTCAATGGCGTATCGGATCTGTGGTGGCAGCATGGAGCATTTTGGGCAATGATAGTGCTTTGTGCAGTCGCTGAACCTATAGACCAGGACGATTCTTATCCAAGGCCGCTGTGTATTCTCTGCTTCAGCTTTGTGGATTTCAGCGACTCAATATAGAGGTAATGTCAGTCCCCGTTGCGATGGTCACTGCAGTCATTGTAGTAAAGATGGAGAAACCTGTCGAACAATGTGCATCCCCCTTGAGCTTTCTCCTGGGATCAGCAGAGCACCTTTGCGTGGTGACGTGGAGCTGATGTGAAGCACCCTGTTGTTTCCAGGAGTGCAGCGTTGACGTTGGTGACATACCCCCGGAGAATCCCCTGTGGCATGAGAAGGATAGAATGCGAAGGCAGGGCCGGCCCCATGACGCACCCTTTCTCGGGGACGCAGCCCGTCGGCATATCCATCACAACTTGGACAGGGGGCCGTTCCGCCAGAGCGCCCCAAGCCCAACCAACATCCCCAGTGGTGTCACAGAGGCGGCCTTGCGCGCTGCGAATTCAAAGCCCTTGAATCCGCAGGCGCCTCCCTTTCCGCCTGAGAATGTGACGCAACTTGCCATAAGAATGAGCAGGCAGCAGCAGCTGCAGGGGTACGCAGAGCAGGTGTCGAATGGACAGTCGCCGCCGCTCGCCCAGTTTCAGACTGGACTTTGGTTGGCAGGTGGTGCGAATGTAGGTCACAGTGGCCAAATTCCTGAAATGATGACTGGGGCCGGGCCAGCAGCGAACACTGGAATTCCGCAGGGGACGTACTGGGACGGAAGTCAGCTGGTGAATCGCCTGTATGCATTTGGCCAGCAGTCGTACGGCCAGCAGGCAGAGGGCCAGCAGCCGTTTGGCCTGCAGGGGTGCAGCGCGTCCTTCATGGATGAAGGAGCAGGCATGAACGGGTATGTGGACAACAATGGGGCGGTCGCTGGATACCATCAAAGTAAATCAGAAGGTGTCCAGAGGCTGGAGGGGGCCGCGCGCTACAATTGGCAACAACAAGACTTGCTACGGAACTCCGATGGTTTTGGCAGGAGTTCCTCGTCGCACAGGGGGCGGCGCGGACGGGGCAGACGTTGATCCGTGCCGTGGAGACGTCAACATGACAGGGCGGCGCGTTGGCGTCCAAAGGGAATCGCGTTGCTGACAAGGCGAGGAGGGCTGACAGGACGGGGGAATGACGGCGAGAGCGACGGAATGGTGGGGAGGCGCATGTGGTCTCTCGCGGGTTTTTACTGGCTTGTTCAGTTGTCCATGAGCCCCAAGTGCCGTCCGATGGGAAGCGCGTTGGAAGCAACTGAGGGGAAAAGGACGTGGCTGCTTGCCGGTCCACGTGCGGTCAACATTGTCGCTGGGGCCGAAAGGCCACGTATTCGGCTTTGGCAGCAACAGCTGCCCCACAAACAATGAAGTCGGAAAGAGTCCCACAAGTTGGGCAAGGGCAAAGGGCGAAGCCGCGCGTCATTCTTGTAGCTCAACTCTGTGCAGCGCAGTGCACGTCTGCCACTGCGTATTGTGTATCCCTATTGGCATCTGAGGAATTCTGGTGGTGCATCGCACTCTACAAGTTGCACCCACCGCAACGCAGCCCCGAAACCTCCTCAGTCTTGCCTTACACCAATTCATATCATCGCCCAACCCTGTGGCCTACAGAATGTTCGGCGGGGCAGCCAACGCCGTGACAAGGTGATGATCCATGGATTTCACAGTGGTTAGATTCGCCGGCAGCCATTTGTGCATTCACTCAGTGTCCAGCGCACGATTGATACCGTAGTGACTGACGTGGGGGCACAACATTCTATACCCGTCAAAGCAGTTTTGCACAGCCGTTAAGCGTCGCGAACAAGGGGAAAAGCCGGCAGGCGTCCCTGCGATGCAGCGGTGACATAACCCTACCCCAGGCACGTGCTTGTTCGCCCAGCGCATGGCAAACGATGAGGCCACCGGGGATGAATTGGGCCGATGACTCGACCGTCAGCGTACAAGCGCCATCTCCAAGCCCACCCTACGAGGACGATGACTCTGCGGCGCGAGCACCCATCTGAGAACCCTCTCGTTGAAAGTTCAATTAAATGGCGTCCATTTACACAAAAACAAAAGCAAAAACAAAACCAGAAACGCTTGCCCCCGGCACCCTTGTCTGAGCGTCATCCCGTCCTGTGCCTAAGGCCTGTGGTCCCGTTAAGGACTACAGCCACGGAGCAGCTTGGAAGGCCAGGCGGACCCAGGGGCCCCTAGCACAGTCACACCAGATGTCGCAGATATTGCAGTGGCGGCATCGCGTCATCTCCATCCGTACTTCGCTTCCGTCTCCGCCTTCGACTTCATGCCGCTGGCCTTCCTGGACGCCATCTCCACCTCCTTCATCTTCATGTCGTAATACAGCGTCCCGATTTGGTGCTTCCTCTTGGCGAACTTGGAAGCCTTGAAGGGCGCCGCCTCAGCCCGCATCTGGGCGGCGTTCGTGGAGCCGTAGGGGTTGTTCGCGGCGTTGACGGACTCCTTCACGGCTGGGTCCATGTACGTCAGGTCCGCTTGCTTCACCTGCACCAGGACAGTGAGTACGCTGTTGTTGGCGTTCCTTCAGCAATGGAACGGCTACACATTCGCCTGAAAGGGTGTGCTGCAAAGCACCGGGTGTCCAAGCGTGCCATTTACTGTCACAATTATTGGGGTGTAGCGAGACGTCCCCCTCACCTCCCATCCTGCCGCACCCTATCCCCCCCCCCCGTCCACCTCACACCGCCACCAACTCAGTCCCGTTTCCCTGGCAATGAACGCAATCTGAAAGTCAACCTCCCATTCTACCTTGCGGCAACGCGAAGGGTTCTGGGTCGTGTCAACACATTGTTCGGACTTGTCGAACAACGTCACAGCGCAGTCCTTGTGCACGCACTGTGAGTGGAAACGAACCAATGCTGGGGAACAAATCGAGCAGATGGAACTGTCATGGCCATGAGGCTGCAGCGGTGGTGCTTCCAAACTTGTCGATACACGTGAAGAAAGGATGGACACCAGCGCGAACAGGCTGCCAGGCCAGGCATGCATTGCATAAAAGCTGTCCTGCCCAACGGCAAGAATGCATGCCTGCATTAATAAAACGTGGCAGCAATGCATGGCTACCTGGCAACACATCCCAACAGAGTTGCCAGACGATGTGAGTACGTGCAGCCGACTACCCTGGCCAAAAGCGGATTTTGAGCTGTGCCCTGAACGATATGTGGCCAGCCTGGTTGATGGCAGCCTGCTTCGCAGCTGCAAATTGCGCCCAACTCTGGTGTTTCGACAAACATTCTTGACCTTTTTGCGACTGTCAGTGGGCCCGTTTCAAGCCAGCGTTACAGGATTCACGTGTTTTTGGATCTGCATTCGGTGTTCGGCGAGTGCACTGGAAAACTGCCCTGGCCAACACCACCTAAGGCAGGTTTGCTGCAATATTGCTTTGTGAGGAAGACCAGGACCTTCACAAGGTGTGTGGCATCCAGCGCACTCCCCACATCACAGCAGCGAAATTCCTCAATACCCATGGCAACGAGCAAGATGGAATGCAGAGCGTCAAGGCTGCTTGGATGACAGCAACTGTGGAGCAACAAAAACCATCGCCAAGCACATGTGCTTGTCATGACCTTCCTTCAAGGTGCCAATGCCACAGCTTTGCAACACCAAAAGAAAAACAATCAGGAGGAATTGATATTCATGAAGACGACCCACAGTGCTTGCTTCCAGAAACCCAGGAGAAACGCATGGTAACTTGTGGGTAAGCCCAGCACCTCTTTGAATTTAATCCCCAAGCCAGCAAAGGGGTCCTCCTGCCCCTCCCCTGCAGCCTGCCCGAACTCCTCCTGCATGGTGCTTGCCAGCATGCGGTCACCTTCGCTCATCGATGCAAGATGTGACTGTGGATCATCCATCCTGAACAAAAAAGAGTGCGTCACGTACGGCCATGATGCGGCAAGTCAAAGATTGAGCACTGCACAAGGACATTCACCAACCTGCTTCCAGCAATTTTTTGACAACAAGATGTAGCGGCAAAGCTGCAAAGCCAAACAACTCAATGGCCACCTGGAATATAGTACAGGACATGACCGACACCATGCATGCGTTTGCACCGCATTTTGTACCACATTGTTTGAATGTTACATAACATGTGCCCTTGTCCCCAGTTAGTGCTGACAAGCGCAGTTCACATCCACATGTATCTGTTTCCACACTGCTTATGTTCCCTGCACATCATGGATTTGTTCATTCACAGAAAGCATGCACAGTCATAAAATCCGCTCTGCTGAGTAGCAACTGAGAATGCCCAGCATGCATCTCTACAAATGAACCAAGGCTTTCATTCCAGTTGTCCACAGCACTGGCACTATGCAAGAGGCCACTTGCAGCTCTGATAACATGAAAGAAGCAAGCTTTGTCTGTACAGCATCCAAGCCGTGCAGCACACCAAGCCTGCGCACGCTGCATTTGCTGAACCGATTATCCGGGGATATTGATCGAATGGTGAATGGATGTTTCTGCAAGGGCTTTTGTTTTTTTCAAGTCGTTTTCATGAACGTAGCCACAAAATTGCCAGGCTTTCACCATTGTTGCAGTCCACAATGCAATAGTCCCCACCTTCTTGCATCGCGAATTTCCCACGACTCTTCTGGCATCCCCACATCAGAAGCCCCTGCAGGTCCCACCTCTGCAGTTTCAACATCATTGTCAACACGAAACGCCTCGTTGCCAAATGCAATGGAGCCATCTTTCGTGGTACCAGCATCCTCACGATACTCAGCTGAGCTCCCCATTGTGGACGCCTTTGCTGCCTTGGCAACTGCAAGAGGATCTGACACCTGCAACCAAGGTATGGATGCAATTTAACTGTCTTGGCCCTGAGGAGCACGTGTGCAGCACCAACTGCCAACTTGAAGTGCAATGGGGGCGAATTCTAACCACATGAACGAAAGTCCGGCACGCCTTGTTTCCAGCCAAGAAGGTCATTCCTTGTCCATTTAGCGTTTTAGTGTTTGAAGTTTACAAGGTTTCTTAGGTTCTAAGGGTCCCCTCACCCTTCCTGGCGCCTTTGTGACCTTCGCATCCAGAATGATAGATGTGAGGGCAAAAGGGGAGTGATAAGTGGAAAAGTATTTACGGTGAACGAAGTGTTGTGTTATGGTGAGATGTGTATGGAGAAAATGGAGACGGAAAAGTGGATATGATTGCAGTGACCATTATTTCGTTGGTATGCTCATCCTATAGTGCATCTGTCTACGGCCTTGCTCCCCGTGCCTGGGAGCGGCTGTGCACTGGTTGAGAGCGCAGGACGGCTGCAGCATGCTCTGAAGCACGAATTTCTTCAGAATAGAGATCGGATAAAACTTTCGAACTTGACAGCGTGCTCGATGCACGTTGTCTTTGAAAGTCCTGGAAGGTCCACAGGCTCCCAAAAAGACACAGCTCCAGCTTGCCAACAATGACTGCCTGACCTCCATTCACCTTTTCTGCTGTTCCTGCATTCTTGGGAGGTGGAAGGAAGTCCTTTAGCTTGCTGGCCTGCCCTCCAAGCTTGATCTTTTTCTTGGGCTTGTCATCTTCCTGCAACACAGCAAGCAACAAGCACGCTACTGAGCACAGGGCCAATCTTTGCAGCTGGTATTCAGTTTGCGCTGCAAGTTTGTTGCTGATCAATTGGCCTAGCTGTCTGAGCAACCTAAATTTCAAAACCAATCCCAACCACAACATCAACCTGATGATCTTGTAGTTTGCAGCAGCGTTTTATCGGCCTTGTGGAAATTTCGCAGCCTGCCAGCAGGGACTCCCCAGTGCAGGACCCCAGAGTCAACCGCTCAGCGTGTCTCCACCAGACTGAATTCAAAACTGAAAATGTTTTGCTCAACCCAACAGAATGCAACCATACTGCAGCAATTCTTTGTTGCTGCATCTACGGAAAAAGAATCCAAACTTGCTGTGACGAGCTTCAACACTGCCTCAGCAAACATCATGTGGTGTTGTGTGGCGCTCACAGTAACAGGAAAGATGCCCGTTGGAAACCAGAGCTGAGTAGCCATAAAATCTCTGGATGCACTGCAGGCATGCGTCACGTCGCCAGAAAATGCAAGGGCGCCCTCAGGAGCATTTTCTATTCAGTAGGGCGGTCCCAGTGCGCGAAAGATTTCTCACGCGCTATTTTGTTTTGTTAATCTTCCGCAGCTTGGCCCCGAAAAACGAACACAATCAAACCAAACACAGCGGGGAACGTGGCGCCAGCAAAAGAGGCTCACACACAAATCATTGATTGTTTGCCAACCGAGATGCACCGACAACGGCCTCGTTGCGTCAAAGGGTTTGAAAAGGGCGAACAGGTACTGCAACATGTCGACAACATGCAGGCAATCGACAAACCCCAGCTCCTGCCAACGGAAAACGCGCCCAGCGCCGAACTCCCATCTGGCACCCTCAGGGCCGCGCGACGCCCGGCAACGCAGTCCATCGCCAAACAGCCCGCACCTCATCGCTGTCGCTCCTCAGCGCCTCGGGATCAAAGGGCAGCATGAAGCGCACAAGGCGCTTCCCGGAGGACTTGGGCTCTGGCAGGGACGAGAAGATCGACGGCCTGCCGGAGCCGGCCGCCGGCGCGGACCTCCGATCGCCGTCGGCGTCAGCTGTGGCGGTCGACGCCTTGGGGCCGCCCTCCGAGTTGTCCCCATCCCCGTCAGAGCCATAGTCTGCCAGCAGGCCGCCCAGTTCCGACATGCGTTTTGATGCGCGAACCGCGCTTGACTGTGCTCTGGTGGACGGTGGGCGCGGCAGGCGCCCCTCGCTTGGTGGTGCTGCGCAGCTCGCGCGGGATGCACGGGTTATGATTTTTTGTGATTTCTGTGCCCGAATTGCAAGGTGAAGGCCCCGAAGAAAAGGCCACCAAGGACCCCGAACTGAGCACTTTGTCCGGCCAAGAACAGAGGGGAGCGGCGGGATGAGGGGTCCAGGACTCGTGTGAATGAGGGCAAATTCTGCTTGATGGGATCCTCCTCCCGCCCGACTCGCACACTGGCCAAGGCAAACGCATCAAGAAATGTTGTATATCAAGTCCAGGAGGTGGTCGTCAGCTCCCTAGTTTGCACAAGGAAAGTGGTGTCCATGGTTTGCTCATTGCAAACCAAGGTATTGCGCCAACAACATCTATATTCTACCAGCTCCCAATTATCTAAGAGAGTTTGTTGATGGCACTACATTGAAAGAAAATTCTTTGCAAGCCGAGCAGGGATAGAAACAAAATAACCTTTAGCATTGCGGCTATGATGAAAGTACTCAAGTGGTTTCAAAAGATTCTCCACTGTAGGCTCATGAAACAGAAAATGCATCTCGTCATCAAGAATTGATACCAGCAAATTGGTTGTATGAATTTGTGCCACTATCAAATCCTCAAAGCTTAGCTTCAGAAATATTGTTAATAACTTGTTTATAGATCTGTAGAGAAGATTGTAAGTCAATTGATGCAGCCTCAAATTAAAATCAGGCCGCAGTCGGTGAAAAAAATTTCTTTTGCCGACTGCGGCCTGATTTCAATTCAAGGCTACATCAATTGACACATAGTATAGACGCATCATTACTTTAGAACAACGATGCGCCCACACAATGACTGTGAACTGGCTGCAAATTGTTGAAAATTTTAACCTAAAATTCAGACTTGAAATAACTTCATGTATCCGAGAGTTGGGACTTCCAAATCTCCGTCTAATGTTGTGCGCTTAGACAAAAAACTGCAACCAATACAAATATGCTTTCCCATCACTATTATTGTGGAAACACTTGGGACAAGCGCAGTGGACCATTTATTTCTCTTATTATCTTTAGATAATGACGTGCAGCTTTATAGTTATAATATAGTGGTTTAATTTACCTCTTAACCTTTATTGCTTAAATATGCAGATTTATGGGTAACTTAAAGGTGCAAAACCTTATGTATTGCAGTCTGGATAATGGAGGCGGAGTAGGGGGAGTTTTGGAGCTATTTTGGTGGTGACAGGAGGCCCGTTTTGTATAGTGCATTGTGGTCGTGTCTTTATGTACTAGCACACTCGGAGGTGTGACAGTCGGATGGTATTTGGATGCAGGGGGCGAACTGTCGAATTGTAATTGTTGTTTCTGGCTCACTGTCCACTCCTGCGGGGGTGATTGCATGGCCCCGTTATCCAATGACCATTGTTGCCACTGGCCTAAGGATGCAGGCCTTGCAACCCCACTGCCTCAGACCCTGCTGTGTATTCCGAAGAAGCGTGCGCCCCGATTACGCTGGATCTACACACTGTCGGGTGGAGATCTGAGGTCACCCATGAGGGGTGGACCGGGCGACGGCAAGCGCATGCCTGCTCCAATGAACAAAAACCACGTCAAGTGGTTTTGGAGCAAGGCAAGGCTGGTAGCATTGAAGGCCGGCAACGGAGAGTGGATTTGGCATCTGGCATGGTTTTCGGTCGATGTGCGGGCGAGGCTCCCGCCGCGGTGCCCAATCGGCCCGGATGGGCCTCCTCCACCAGATGACCGGTGGGCTGTCCAGGGCGCTCGCTCCTTCGGGGTGCACAATGTGGGCCCCGGCCGGCGGATGGCCGGGCGCAGGGCGGCCGTGCGCATTGTGGGTGCGTGGCGCAGTGCGGCTCACAAGCGCAGCCACGGGGTGTGTGTAGTGGGCGAGAGAATGTGTAAGGGGCGTGGAGCCTTGACGGCAACTCCAACACCCGTTGGTCCAAACTCGGACCCAAGGAACGGGAAAACTCACGATTACAAACTGGGCGGAGGACACCCGTATTTATAGGTGCCCGCCCGGGAATCCCAAGGGTCATGCCAGAAATTGGTGAGTCATCCCCAATTCTGGCATACCCGCCAACTTGTGTTCGAATGTTTGTATCCCGTCCGCATTGTCATTGGTCCCAAGGTTCCCACAACGCTTAAGCCTTTATGCAAACGTTCCCAAACTCATCAAGCGCAGCTCCCACCTAACCCAAAAGCTACCGTGTGTTACCAACACGGGGTTTGATACCCATCTACTAGTAATCCTTTTAAAACGCTGATTGTTGCCCTCACATCCCTCCGGGCCTGTTACGAGGCGTCCTCGGCTCGTGTTGTCATCCCGTAGTCGCTCACTCTTCGAATTCTTGCACAAGTTATCGAGCCCTTGCCAGGTTCGCCAGCGGTTCCCAGGTGTTTTCGTAGTTGTCGTATCCCTTCCACTTGACGAGATACTCTGTTCGGTTGGCCCGCCCAATTCTTCGGACCCGCTTGTCGATGATTCGCTCGACTTCAAATTCTGCTTGTCCGTCCACCATCATGGGGGGGAGGTTGGACACGTTCAGGACATGCAAACTGCCCATGATCATCATGATATGGCCGCAACTTGGACACGTGGAAAACTGGATGAATCTTCAATGAAGGAGGCAGCTCCAGCTTGTACACCCAGGGAGAAATAACCTCCAGAATCTTCATGGGGCCACAGAATCGCTCCGCAAGCTTACGCACTCTTGAACCTACAGAAATGTGTGTAGTATCCAGCAGCACTCGATCTCCAACGTTGAAGGAAGCCTCTCGTCGGTGTCTGTCAGCGTATTGCTTCTGATATTCTTGCACCTCGCGAATGGCCTGCTGAGCCCGGGTGGCATCAGCTTGCATTCAAGCTATCATCGTTGTAGCTGACTCGTTCTGATGTTCTTTGGTTGCAAAGTCTGCTATCGACTCGAGAGGTCCCCGTGGGTGCTGTCCCGTCATCAAGAAAAACGGTGACACCTTGGTACTTGCATGTTGAGCTGAGTTGTAGGCATATTCGATGATCGGTAGATGTTCAGCCCAATCCCGCTGGTCGTACGCCACGTAAGCTTGAAGGATCTGTTCCAAAGTTCGGATGGCTCGTTCACTCGCCCCATCTGTCTGTGGATGATGCGCTGTTGATGGGTGTAATTTCGTGGATAGGTGCTTCCACAGCGCTTTCCAAAAGTTCCCCATAAACCGGGGGTCTCTGTCACTGACGATCTGTTTTGGTAGTCCAAAATTCCTGAAGACTTGCTCCACAAATATCCGTGCCAATTGTGGTGCGGTCACCGTTATCGTTGTTGGTGCAAACCGGACCATTTTCGTGAAGCGATCTGTGAAGACTACGGCTGCATCATATCCCTCCGGTGTCTCCGGCAGACAGGTCACTAAGTCCATGGTGATGTGCGTCCATTTCCCGTCTGGTGTTGGGAGCGGGTGTAGTAATCCTCGTGTTTGCTGCGTCTCCACTTTGGTTCTCTGACATACGTCACACGTGCGAACATATTCGCGTGCATCACTGGCCATCCCCGCCCAGGTGAAGTGTCGGTCGAGTCGCTCCTTGGTTCTTGCTCTTCCCAAGTGTCCAGCCGCGGGTGCATCATGAGCTTCTCGAAGTAGCATGGTTCTCAGTTCCGTGTTATTTGGCACCACTATTTTCCATTGTCCATCTCTCTGCTTCCTCCAAAGGAGATGGTTGGCAAACTTATGAATCCCGTCTTCTTGCCTCGCCTCAATTCGAGCCGTAGCCAGGTCTGGATCTTCACGTAATGCAGACGCGTACAAACGCAAGAAATCTTGGTGTCTCGTGTCATACCATGCAGTTGGCGTGCTCCTGGTGCATACGTTGGCTTCTTGACCGACGTCTGTCTCATCAGAGTCGTCACTGACGTCTTCCGGACCTGGTCGTCGTGATAGGGCGTCAGCAGCTCCATTGCAGCTCCCCTTCCGATAGCATATTTCGAAGTCGTAGTCTTGCAGAAATTCGCTCCATCGTGCTTGACGCCGGGACAGATTCTTTTGTGTTTGTATGTGCCTTATCGTCTGATGGTCGGTGTGCAACTGAAATCGTCGTCCTTCCAAGAGATGCCGCCAGCCCCTTAAAGCATGAATAACGGCCAACATTTCCTTGTCGTAGGTGTGGTAGCGCATCTCTGCCTGACCGAGTCGTCGCGACAAGTACTCGACCGGTTGTAATCCTCGTCCTTGGTTTTGCATCAAAATTACCCCCGTGGCATAGTCGCTTGCGTCAGTCATGACGACGAAGGGCAACTCATCATTTGGCAAAAGTAGCAGTGGAGCTTGGGTCAGTCTGTCCTTCAAAGTTGGAAAGGCTATTTCTTGCGCTTCTCCCCAAACGAACGGCTCATGCAGCTTGGTGAGGTCCGTCATCGGTCTGGCCACAGAAGCAAACTTCGGCACGAACCGTCGGTAGAAGTTTGCCAATCCAAGGAATGCTCTGACATGATGGACGTTCCGTGGTGTCGGCCACTCTTGCACCAACCGGATCTTGCTGTGGTCTGGTCGGGCACCTCCTTTCCCGACCACCACTCCCAGAAACTCCATTTCCTCACAAGCAAAGTTGCACTTGTGTGGCCTCACCACCAATCCATGTTCCCGTAGCCTTCTCATGACCAGCCGTAGATGTTTGACATGCTCCTCCATATTTTTGCTAAACACGAGTATGTCATCCAAGTAGATGACCAGAAAGGCATCTGCAACGTCACCGAAGAACTGGTTCATGTAGCGTTGAAAGGAACTTGGAGCGTTGCATAACCCAAACGGCATCACCAGGAACTCGTAGCTTCCATGACGCGTGACGAACGCAGTCTTAGGGATGTCTTCTTCTCTTATCCGTATCTGGTGGTAGCCAGACCGTAGATCCATTTTGCTGAAGATAGTCGCCCCCGCCAGCCTGGCCATCAGGTCATCAATTCGGGGTAAGGGATACCTGT